ATATTCACAGATGTAGGATGGCTGTGAGTTTTGGTGTCAAAAAAAAAAAAAACTTTGAATGTTCCTACCTTTTATTAGAAGAACTAAAAATTCAGGAGAATTTCAAATTTGCATAATATTTATGATCTTAATTTATTTTGTGTATACAAAGAGATATCACTTATGAAAATGTGCTGTTGCATTCTATTTATAGTTGAATATTTATTTATAGTTGAATATTTAGAGGGATTTTCTCTTTCTCATAAAAAAAAAAATGTGCTCTTTTAACTTTTCAGGCATCTTGAAGTCACAGAGGAAAGAGTAATTCCTCCAAACCTTTAGACTTTTTCTTATATGACTTATAAGACTTGAATAACTAGAGCAATAAGCTCTTTTCTGATTTCTACGGTAATAAAAATGCCACTGTTGTCCATTGATTATCCAGCTTGTGGGCCTAGTTTAGAGAAAGGGAATATACCAAAGAATTAATCAGCAGTCACGAAGAGATACCTACAAGCAAATGAAGGGCTTGCATGCTTTATTTCGTTTATTTAAAAAAAAAAAAAGGAAAGGAAAGAAAGGAAAAAGGCAATATTTCTTGAAAACTGGAATTTATTTTGCTCTTTAGTTCTTTTTTTTTTATTTTTTTTTTAATTTATTTATTTGAGAGAGAGAGAGAGAGATCACAAGTAGGCAGGGAGGCAGGCAGAGAGAGGGGGGGAAGCAGGCTCCCTGCTGAGCAGAGAGCCCGATGCGGGTCTCGATCCCAGGACCCTGAGATCATGACCTGGGCCGAAGGCAGAGGCTTAAGCCACTGAGCCACCCAGGCGCCCCTTGCTCTTTAGTTCTTAAAGAGCTAAGAACTCTTTTGGTTCCGTGTATAGGAATTTTGGTTTGGTTCTGTGTATAGGAATTGCAGTAACCTGATAACTGTGTTCATTTGTATCAGTAGCTTCTATTTGCATTCTTATAAACTGATTTAAATAAAGGCTGTGTATGTGGCAATAGATATATATTAGTTATCTATTGCTGCATAACACATTACCCTGAACCTAGGGACTTAAAACAATACATGTTTTGTTTTGTTTTGTTTTGTTTTATCTCACCTAATTTCTTTGGATCAGGAATCCAGGAATGTCCTAGGTGGGTGGCTGTAGCTCAGAATCTTACATAAAATTGAAGTCCAGGGATGCCTGGGTTGCTCAGTTGGTTAAGCGGCTGCCTTTGGCTCAGGTCATGATCCCAGCGTCCTGGGATCGGGTCCCACATCGGGCTCCTTGCTCGGTGGGGAGCCTGCTTCTCCCTCTGCCTCTGCCTGCCACTCTGTCTGCCTGTGCTCGCTCACTCTCTCTCCCTCTGTCTCTGACAAATAAATAAATAAAATCTTTAAAAAAAAAAATTTGAAGTCCACATATCATCCCAAGTTATAAGTAGTCTCTGTGAAGGCTTGACTAGGACTGAAAGATCCACTTCCAAGGTAGTTTGCTCACATGCCTGGCAAATTTGAACTGGTTATTGGCAGGAGGCCTGTTTCTTACCATGTGGACCTCTCCATAGGGCCGATTGACCATCTGTAATGTGAGCAAATGATCAGAGAGCAGGATAGAAGCTGCATTGTCTTTTATGACTTAGCCTGGAAGTCACACATCATTTCCCTGATAATCCTGCTGGCTGTACAAGTTAACTGTGTTCATAGTGGGAGGAGAATACACTAGGGTACAAAGACCAGGAGTTAAGGATCTTTGGGGGCTATCTTGGAGGCTGGCTACCAAACTAGAATGTCTAATCTAATATGTGCAAGTGTCCAGTGAATGTTCAGATAACCTAAATTTTAATTTTATCAAAAGTAATATAATTATTGGAGTATAGAGATTTTTCATTTTTACATCTTTTATCCCAAATTGCACATGTTAACATACATTGGTTATTGGTCCATTTCAGTTGCATATAGATAGCAGTGCAAAGTGTCTCTGTCCTCAAGGAAGGGCAAATATTTCATTGTAATTATACCAAGTATTACAACAGGGGTACGTACTGAAGATGATGAGGTCAGTTGTTGAAGAACCTGAGCTCTGAAGTCAGTTTGCCTCAGTTCAATTTCTGGCTCCTTTATTTATTAGCTATATGATGTTGGACCATTTATTTTACCTTTCTAGTCTTTATTCTGATTATTCCCTTTTTATAGCTTACCTTCATCATAGGGTTGTGGGGATTTAGGAAACAGTACCCAAGAGTACTATTAGCCAGCCACTTGAGATTTCCTGGAATGAATCAGTTTGGATGAGGGAAGGTTTCCAGGGAATGTGAGACATTTGAGTCATCTCTTGAAGGGTAAGTTGGAGTTTGGTCAGTACAGAAAGTTGGTGGAACCTGGGCATGAGATGCCAGCATGAAGTAGCGCTAGAGGCTGAGGAGCTGAGCAGTGGGGTTGAGGCTGGGGCATGTCATGTGGTAGCTTCAAGGGAATGACAAGAAAGAAGTTTAGACAGTGGCATGCAAGGATGGTGAAGAGTCTCAGGTGGAGCCCCAGGACCTTGTAAATTTTCTGAGATGATCTCAGTTTAAATCACAAATTTCTTACTGTCTTCATGACCACCCTCACAACTGCTAGATCTTATATCCATATTTGTGGTTAAGAAAATATTGTCACTACAGTTAAAGGCAAAACAAAAGAAGTTTCAACTTTTTTTTTTCTTTTAAAAACCATAGAATGATAGGATTTGCTCTTTTTTGTGTGTATATTTTTTTTTAAGTGTTTTGGGCAGTGGGTTGAATAGTTAGGATGGTTATAGTAATCAGTAGGGAGAGGACTGAAGCCTCACAGGAGACTAGAGAGGTGAGTACAAGAATACAAGAGCCTGAGACCTTTGCTTCTTGTCTGTTCTGACATTTCCCACAGGCATCCGAAGCATGTTCCCAGGACTGACAAGACTAGAACACTTCCCATCCTATTCCAGAGAACCTTGACTTATCCAGAATTTTGTAATTATAAAAATCTAAAAAGGAGAGATTTTAATGTTAGCATATATGTAAGTATCATTTTAAATTATGCATGAGAAAATAGGCACAATAATTTTGGCCTTTAAATGTCTGGCTCTAGTATTAATAACCTTATTTTATGGATAAGAAGATAATGATTATGTCAATTTTAGACACTCCTTATCAACTGCCCACTTCCCACGTTCAAAAGATTTTTTTTTTTAAAAACAAAACTGAAAAGAAAGATGAGGCTATAAAGAAGAAAAGGCAGATAAAAAACGAGATTTTTGATTTAGATAATTAAGAATCCGTTTGCCAGAGAGAGCTGGATTCCAGGTGGCTTCTCGGCCCAAGGGTGGGAATTAGGGTGCTTAGTCTATATAGCTTTTCTCACGTGGTTTTAAATTCATCTTCCAAAACTCTCCCTGAGTGGGGCTGACTCTTCATTGCTTTTTTTTTTTTTTTAAAGATTTATCTGATAGAGAGATCACAAGTAGGCAGATAAGCAGGCAGAGAGAGAGGAGGAAACAGGCTCCCCGCTGAGCAGAGAGCCGGATGCGGTGCTCGATCCTACAACCATGGGATCATGACCTGAGCTGAAGGCAGGGGCTTTAACCCACTGAGCCACCCAGGCACCCCCTCTTCATTGCTTTTTGGATGACATGCTCAATGGACAGACTCTTTTACCAAGACACATAAGCCTCAAATATGTGTCTTTCTTTAGCTTCTTTAGGAGATAGGTAGGTCTAGTTGAAGCCAGAAGGCTCTAACCCATCTGACATAAAATGATGAAACAGGAATGCTGTGGTACCTAGTTCACTTAAAGCTTATTTGTTTTCATGAGAAAGAATGTTAATGTGAGTGCTGCCCTCTTTTTCTTTTAAAACTTGGAAGCATGAGCTAATGCACCTTTGCACTGCAGCCGTAACACTATGTAAAAAATAATCCAGAAATGGATAGTAGTTTTATACACCTATTAAGTTACATGAAATGTTGGTCTAATAATCAGACTGAGCGACAGTGTCTCCATTCAGGATTATAGTAGCCTTGCAGAGAGAGCCCAGCTATGGAAGGGAAATTTTGGAGTAACTTACCCCATCCTCAGCTGTGTTTGAAATTTAGATATTTTCTGATAGCTTGCATCACATTTGGATTCTTTCTCTCTACACTATTTCTAATTTGATATTTTTTATTATTTCAAAGCTAAGATGTTGAGGATTGTAACTTTCTTTAACTTTCTGTAACTTTCTATTCATAATAAAAGTAGTTTAGTGTCTTTGTGTGCAAAAAAATAGTTGATAGAAGATGGTCTTGTTACTAAAGTAAACCTTTCTATAAATAAATGCAGAAACATCTGTTAAGGGCATAGCCTGAATGTGGCAGACATCTGAATTGCATCAATTCCCGCCTTGTGGCCAAGATGTCTTTCTTAGGCTTTCTTTATGACTAATGGCAGAGTTTCACATTCTCACAGCATTAGGCAATAGAATGGTCAAAAGAACTGATGCCAAGTTACTCTCTTTCTTGGGTTAGCTAGTGGTAATAATTTATACTCACCAAAGAAAAATGTGGCATTTTTTTGTTTTTATTTTTGAAGACTGAAAACCTGAGATGTCTCCTTCAACGTCACTTTTCGGCCCTGGCTTTAGGCAGTTTTCCAAATGTCTAATTGCTAAACTGCTTTCAAGAAATTATTGTGGTATTACCGGAAGCTTTGGTCGGGAGAAAAAGGCAGCACACAGTCTTTCCTAGAGCACCACGGGCCCGTCAAATGACCTTTTTCAGAAACAACCGAGATTCTCTTTTCAGTGGCGGAAAAATGCTAATTGAAACTAAACAGAAAACAAACTCACCCCCCAAGTATTGTAGTCCAGAGGAGTAAGGGAGAAGGTCAGAGAGGGGATGAAAAATTCTTCTTGGGAAAACTTTTGAAGCTAAAGCTTATTCATTTGGTCTTTGATGTTTATGAGTTAAAATGGGTGGTTCAGCATTTTTAAGTTAAAAATTAGCCAGGACTGTAAGAACACTGTGTACCTTTTCAGGTGCCTGTGTACCTCTTCCTAGAATACCTGTCTGGTGCTCTCCTCTTCCTCAAGACTACCTCAGCACTCCTCCCACTTGGGGACTCCAGCGCCGTAAGGTGAGTCTGCAAAGTTGTACTCCTCGCATATATCCTAGAAGAGTATCGTTTAAAGTGACGTTTTAAAAACAACTGTTCAAAATTTGGGGAGACTTTCAGAGGTTATGTTCACTGGTGAGCTCTCAAGAATCATCATTTGTAAGCCCTATATTTAGATAAGTATAAAGTTTAATTAGCAATAGTGTCTTTTGCCAGTATAATATAAGCCCTAGGTTCAGATTTGTGTTGACACTAATAGCATTATGAAACATGCTCTTTAGATTTCAAGTTTGAAGTCTGAAGCAAATTTTTGCAAATTAGTATGTCACCACTCTTAGGTTTCCCGAGCATTATTCTACTCATGCTTTAAATTGGCAGCCTCTTTTTTTATTAGTTGATTGATTGATTATGTTTTTATTTTAATTCCGGCTTGTTAGCATACAGTGTTATATTAGTTTCTGGGGTACAATAGAGTAATTCAGCACTTCCATACATCACCCTGTGCTCTTCAAAACAAGGGTACTCCTTAATCCCTATCACCTACTCAACCCATCTCCGCCCCTCTCCCCTTTGGTAACCATCAGTTTGTTCTCTGTAGTTAGTCTGTTTCTTGCTTTGTCTCTCTCTCTCTCTCTCTCTCTCTCGTTTTTTTCCCTTTGCTTGTTTTGTTTCTTAAATTCCACATACGAGTGAAATCAGATGGTATTTATCTTTCTCTGACTTACTCACTTAGCATTATACTCACTAGCTCCATCTGCACTGTTGCGAATGGCAAGATTTCATTCTTTTTTATGGCTGAATAATATTCTCTTATATTCAGATACACATACACACACACACTCCACATCTTCTTTGGATAGATCAGTTGATGGATAGCAGCCTCTTTTAAAGCAGAAAAATATTTCTAACAGTGAAGGTTAGAAGGTCTTTATAAGTCTGAAAGAGCTTATAGTTTGAGCTTCGGTCCTGCAAGTAGTGTAATTGGCTTCATTAAGTAAAGGGGGTCACAAAGTCTCTTGAGGTGGGAATATACAACTAAATTAATTTTCACTTGCTTTTTGTATGCTTGACGTATATCCTCTCTTGAACATTAAAGTGACTCATTGGTCTCAGAAGGGAAAATAATTTGATCTTGTTTGTATTATGTGAATCACTTGTGAATAAACTATTCACATTTTACAGGTGAATAAGCTCTTTAAGGGCACCGACCAGCATGCCATCTCGTAAATTCCTTAGTCCCTCATTTGCAAAAAAGTTATGTGCTGGCATTTTTTGCTTCAGTGATGATTTTTGAAGGTCTTACATAAATTAACTCCCCCCTGAAATAAAGAGTATAACCTTAGAGCCATGTAGTAATTGCTAAACTATGTGGAGGGAAATATATTCATAAAACCCCAAGTCCTTATCCTTACTGGTTCAGTTTTCTTCCTGTAGACTCTGTTGAATTGCTCAAGCCATTAGCAAAATCCATGACTAGAAGACCCCAAGTGTTGAATAAAAGATAGTTTGATTCTAATAGAGCAGTTTTGTTATATCCATGTAAGAGCTGAATAATGCTAGTTAAGCTCTGCTATTTGTTATATAGTCTAAAGAAGAAAAGTATAAGGAACAAAATGTATTATGTAGTCCCACTTACTACATACAGTCTCTCCATAATTGTGTCATCGCCTAAATTTTAGATTTAGCTTTTATCACTGATAAAGCTATTCTGTAAATCTTTCTTTTCTTTACGTTAGTTATTTTCTATTTGGGAGGATTTATGTAAAAGTTACACCAAGAGAAACTGTGATTCAGGTTGAATATTTAGAGATTGTGTACACTTGGGTTTGAATGTTTCAGTTATTTCGTTTCTTTTATAACATTGTTAGTTACCCCTCATACAGGTTGGAGATGTAGGAGTTGCTTTAAGTTTGCTGCTAAAGAGTTAATTTTTTGGCTATTTCTTCTCAAATGTTTCATATGCTAAAAATTAACAGCCTTTGATTCTTCAAGTGCATAGAGACTCCCTTAGCGTACTGCCTTGCCTTCCTTTTTTAAAAGGAGTTTTGTCTGTTTTAAATAAATGAATGGTTCCTGGATGTGGTAGAGCTGTACATAAAACTGGTTTGCTCTTGCTGACTGCCGAAGTGATCCAGTTTACTCATTGAAAGAGGATGTGTGAGTTCCCTAAACCTTTTTGAATGAAGCCTCTAATTTCAGTTGTGTTGACTTTGATACCAACAAAACCAGCTTTGAATTCTCACTATTGCCACACTGTAAAACCACCTTAACTTTTTTTTTTAATGTAGCAGCTTTAAATTTTTAATGTATTACAATCAGAATATTTCTACTAAATTACATTTTCTCTACAATAATGCAGTTTTTCCTAAGCCATTATTCTTTTAGGGAATGTTAGTGAATAAGTCACATTTTATTTATCACAAGGCATCTTTTCCTTGGTTTGTAAATTTGAGGCTGTGTGAGAACAAAGTTTAAACCTCCTATTTTACGTTAAAAAAAAAAAACAAAACAGATTACATGAGACAATATAAGATTTTGCAGATTATTTTATTTGCTTCTCTCTCTGTTTGGAATAGGACTGCATTCTTCTCCCATCCCCCTTTTCTGGTACCTTCCTGTAAAAGGCATTAATAGAGGGAAAAGAATGATAAACAGGACTTAGCCCTATAATCTTCTTTCAAAACTGCCTTGTAAGTAATTTCCCATAGTTTCTGTAATGAAGCTTATGATGGTAGTATATTGTGCTTCTGGTAGTGGGGAGTAGTTTCAAAATACTCTCAACATTTTATATTTTAAGCTGTGTGTGTGTGTGTGTGTGTGTGTGTGTGTGTGTGTATTTGAGTTTTCAGGTTAAGTTTTCTGCCCCATGTAGATTTAGTGGAATTTATTTTTTATATGCTTATACTTGGTTTTAATGGTTTAGATGGGGGCATTTCTGAATAAAACTTGTAAAGAGATTTTTATTGTTGTTACAGGTAATTCATGTACACAGATTTTAGGAGGCTCAAAATGATCTTTTGGCAGAAAAACTTTGTAGAAGAAGGGGGGACATTTTCTGTAATTTAAGTTGTCATAGTAACCTGCATCAAACCCATACTTGGAATCCAGGCCTGAAGAATTTCAGTGACAATAAACATTCCAGTTGCATTCATCTTTTTTTCCCTCCTCTGAGAAAGGAGCCATCAATTGTGATCTAATTATTTCATTTCTGTTTTTAGAAGACGAGTAGCAGCTTGCATTTTTTTAGCACTTTGCAATTTCCCTGGCAGAGTAAAAATGAAAAGTTAGCTGTTTATATTTGAACTTGGCATTTTCTGATAATGTATCTCAAACTATTGCACATGACAAGATAGGTTCACTATAAAGATTACTTATTAAAATATGAAAAAAATATAATTTGATAATGATTTGAAGACATTGCCACATGTATTTGTTAGCTTGTAAGTTTTAATATTAAAAGTATTGGAATCTGGTTTTTATGGAACTCTGATCTGGGAATGTTAGGATTTTCCCAATATCAGATTGTTAATGTATTTATTTTATGACATCTTGTACTTAAGCATGTATGTATTTTAAAAGGATGAGGTATCATTTTTATTAGCAGAATAAGTGTACTTTGAGGAATTTGTATCCAGGCATTTTTTAGATATGCTCTCCTTCACAGAGGACAATAGAATGTTGTTTCTAAAGACAAAGTTTTTTAGGGTTTGCTTCACTCTTGCTTTTTGCAGGATACTGATTACTAATCAAGGGAATTTGGGGTTCAAAACATTCTCCTTCAGCAAGGAACATTAGGAGAAATCAGAAGATAAAGGTGTGTGTGTCCTTTCATTTTAGGAAACTTGAAAAATAAATTGGAAGAGTTTGTGACTAGTCTAATAAAAATAATATACAAAATCAGCAGTTACTGGATATAGCTATAGCTATCTGTAGATAAAAATGGTAAAATTCTTGTCAAAACTTTTCCACATGTATTTGAGAACCTTAAATGGATAATTTTTTAAAAAAACATAAAATTTGAATTTTAAAAAGTACAAGGTAAATGTAGAAAACCTAGATAGTCCATTTACTGGGGAACTGTGAAGAAAAATGTAATCACCTATTATCTCACGGTTTAGAGATACTTACTATAAATATTTTATGGGAAGTATCTGCAATTTTTTAAACAAGCAATTTTTTAAACAAGCTGTCAAATAGCCAAAATACTAATAGTGGTGAAACACTAGAATTTTATCTCCTATTAGAATTAGCAGCATACCTGCTGTCATCACTACTAAAGTAACTCTGAAATATCTAGCCAATGTATTAAGAACAGAAAGATAGAACTATTGGAAAAGACAAAATTATTTGTAGATAATAAAAAATGTCCAAGATACCCAAACTAATATTATAAAATTCCATTATAATGTAAATATCATGATTTGTATACCAGTAGTAATCAGTTCAAAAATAGGAAAAAAGAGACCATTAATAGCAACAAAAATTTATGCCGAAGATTAAAGTCTGTAAGAAATGTGAATGACCCATGGGCAGGAAACTATTAAACTTCATACAGACCTAAAGATTTGTTCAGTCTTAGTACTTAACAAAGGAATATCATATTTGGTATGTCATATCGTTAAAGATTCAAAAACATGTACATGAGTCATATATGAGTGGTACCATATTATGTTAAAGGTGACCTAGACTAAAGTAATTCCTATGTTGGCTGTGGGAGAAGATAGATCAGAATGCTCATATGATGCAACTATAGGATAGACAGTGTTGCAGACGGTAATGGAATCTGTCTACCTGCCTACCTACCTATGTATCTATATACCTGTTTATTTATAGATAATTTTTTTTTTACTATTTAATGAAATGGAAAATGAGAGTAACCTAAAAAGTAACCTTGTATTTTTAAGTGTGCTTGCATAGAAAATAAACGAGACAATATACAAAGTGTTATTGATGATTATCTGCAAGTGGTAGAACTATAAGAAAATAATAATAACTATTATTATTATCAAATTATTATTACA